CCTCCAACGTGGAGACGAAACCCGACACCAACGGCCGTCAAACTAAGCCAATATCTATAGGAGGGGCGACGCGGCGAACGAGGGAACAAAATCGACCAGCACATGGCCGACAAGCTCAGCCGGACATTCAAACCGCGGATCGATAGTGACAGTCGACGCGTTGATAAGGATAGTGATTAAAAGCTTTTTTAAGGGAATGGTGGGGGATTCATTCGGTACCCAGTTTAGTCTTCAGGATTCAATGCTTCGCTGGAGCAAAAAAGACGAATCGGTAGGGATTCATCTTAGGGCCGCCTGGGGGAAGGTATTAATAATAAAAACCTACTTACGAGTTTTCAGTAGGTCGAATTTCCGCCTTTCCAAATACTTATTTGATTGTGTTAGTCAATAGCAGTTTTCCTAATAGTTTTCTTGGCCTATAGGCTTCCTTTTAAGTCCCTCTTGTTCTTTCTGCAGCTTTTTCACCTACATTTCAGTTCAGTATAGCAATTAAAAGTGGCCTTAGTTTCTTATTGTGCGGTTATTAAGCACCTATATATGGCTTTGGTGTGCCCCCCACCCTTTCCTTCCCCTTTAACCACGAACTCCGTAAGACACAGTTGGGTTGAGAGACTTTTGCCGCTTAGCGGCCCTATGACAAATATCCACCGACGAATCAAATTAACTGATCCCCTCCAATTCATAGCATAAGTAGTTGATTCGAGCGAGCCAGAACAGGCTCTGCGGATGAGGACAGGCCTTAAGAGCAACAGAAGAGTAACGCAAAGTGGAGAGACAGCGAGAGCTTTAAAGACTTGCCGATAAGTTATGAGTCCCCAGTTCTCCATAGCCCCCATCGAGAAGTCCGGAATGGCAATGAGGTCGAGTTTCGGCAGGGGGAATTTGGTGCCAAAGAGGTCCGCGTAGAAGGGCAGGGCACTCTTGGCCATGCGTAGCGCATGGTACCCATAGTGCGCCTTGCCCACCGGCGTGAAAACGCGAATCTTCACGCCGTTTGGGTCATCCACGCTGCAATGATCAAAATGACCAATCACCATGGCAACCAGGTAGGTGGACATGACAGGCGATTGGTCAAAGGTGACCTTCACGTAGTTACGCGAGTTGGTCGGGGCTGGTAGACCGGCTGGAGTCGCCACCACTTCCCGAGATACCTCAGGCTGGGGTGTATAAAAAGACAATTTTTTCGAGATTGACAAAAGTGATGAAGTCCACGGGGGGAGGAGGGTCGGAGTGAGGGGACTCAATGTTTTCTCATTTACAGGAGTGTTCTTAACTTCGGCTGAACAATTTTTGGAATTCTCTAC